ACATGCTGTGTGGTATCGGCGTTTGGTATCGGGGCATTTTAACGAGTACGAGTACAGGAGCTCAGTATCGGGCCCAATACCGATACCAGTATCGGTGCATCCCTACTTTTTAATCGCTTGAATTTTTAAATTAACAAGGCTTAAAAATGCAAATGCATGTTTCGTGACGACGCTGCAGTGGCCCGATCGGGCAAGTGACAAATTCGTCTACTGGCCCGAACGTCTTTCACGCTGGCCCCGGGCCATCGGGCAGTCCTTATTGTCGAGCCCTGAGATATATATATATATATATATTAGGGCTGTCAGTTTAACGCTTTAACTTCTTAAAAAAATAACACAATTAAAGGCACAATATGTAATTTTCGCCGCTGGAGGGCACGTATTCAAAATAAACAAAGAAGCAAAGGCGTAGTTTAATGACGCTATTTTAATAAAAAAATCGTACATATTGTGCCTTTAAAATATTTTAACGCAGTTAACACACTGGCCCCGCCCCCAGAACCTCTATGTCATCTTACATTTCATACAGTTGAGTGTTGACAAATATGATGCAGGGCAACAACTCCATAAAAGCAGTTATACTATAAAATTCAAGATATTGGGGCAAAAATGCTCCTGTATGAGTTTCTGTCTCGTATTTATATCACATGATAAGCGATATCACACGAACAGCAAAAGCAATCACACGAGTGCTGTTTGTCCCGAATATAATGAGTGCATGTGTGATTTTATACAACAGTTCTGTAAATTAGAAGTTATTATTATTGTATATTTTAAACAATATTGTCTGTTTTTGCTCAGTTTTGCCAACAAAAATATTACCTATAAAGCTACAGCAGAACTTTTGTGCATCTGTGAGCAACACAGCGGTGTTTAGTTTCTCAATGAATCTGCATTTTGAACGAATCGAATCAATGATTTAAAGGCCCATTCATAAAGTGATCAGCTTATTGAATTCCTGAATGAATCAGCTGTTTGAACAAATGGAATGAATGAAAGACACATTTACCGCCACCTGCTGGCAGTTTTAGTTTCTTATTTAAAGTATTATTTCATAAAAAAAGGCGGAAAAAATTTTGAATAGAGAGTTCATCTAAATTTTTTTAATTATGTCGTCATTTACTCAATCCTGAATGACTTAATTTCTTTTGTGGAACATTAAAGAAGGTATTTTGAAGACTGTTGGTAACAAAGCTGTTTTGAACGAAAAAAACTGAGATGTTTTTCAGATTATCTTCTTTTATGTTCCATAGTTTATGTTAGACCAATGTAGCCTAAATATTTGTGTAATAAATTTGATATTGAATCAAATAAAATACTTCTTTCTAAAGCTACTATTTGTAAGGTCTACTTAATACTTACTCATTTAACACAAAAATAGCGTTAAATCATCTTTTGGGGCTATTTTCACAGACAAATGTAATTTGCGATTAAACTAATTAATCGACACATCATGTAATTAATTAGATTAAAAAATGTAATCGACTGACAGACTTAATATACATATATAATCGCACATTTTTTCTGAAATTAATTGTGATTAATCCCACCTAACATTAAAGTTTTTTAATATTCTTTTATATTGCAATAATTTCACATTCAATCTTCAAATGAATGTAGAAACAACAAAGACAGTACATTTTTTTTATGACTGAAGGTGAGTATCACTGATACCAATACTACTGATGTCTCTAGGAAATTGTCATTTTTTTCCTAATATTTAAACATTGACTATTGCCATTCAGCATTACAGTATAATTGAGAGCTATCAATTTTAACATTTATTACTTAAATTTTTTTTTACTTCTAATTTAAAGCTGCAGTCCGTAACTTTTTTTGGTTAAAAATTATCCGAAATCAATATTTGAGCAAGTATTTAACAGCTAGTGTTCGAAACTATCCCCTTACTTTAGCCCGATTCACAACAGTCAGCTTATAATAATGTTTTCTAATCTAATTTGAGTGGTACGGGTAGGTTTTCGCGGAAAATTTGAGCATGCTGCCGCGTCATTACATCACTTATGAAAACATAAAGAAGTTGTCCCGGCTACTAGGCTGTCTATCGCATGTGAGGATCCTGCAGGTGGCGGATCGTTTATAGCCTTCTCTCACAGCAGCCAGAATAATTAAAAGTATCATTTTGATGGCGGATTGTAATCCATAAAGGATTATGTGTTTATGAAACACATGTGAATGAAATTAAATTATATTCAGTTATAAATGTGCTTCTGATTACAGATAGCCTGGGATTACAACAATTTGTATTTTAAAGAAAACCAGTTCGAAGGGAGCATAATTTGCTTTTTGGGTTAAAAGAATTTCTTAAAGGGGTCATATGACGTTGCTAAAACGAACATTATGTTGTGTATTTGGTGTAATGAAATGTGTTTATGCGGTTTAAGGTTAAAAAAAC